TCTGCCCCATTCCCCCACCTCCGGTGCAAGCCCATCGGTCCCTGACCCTGGGGGCCCAACCTCTCCTCCCTTATCCACATCCCCTATCCTCCCTGTCAATCCTCTCCCTTGCCCCCCCTCGTCTCGTACATTCCTCCACCACCAGCTGTCACCTCTGTATTGGCCTAGAAAATGTACGCTCCCTCTCCAGCAAAATGCTTACCATCCAGGAACTCATTGTCGACGAAAACATCGACATCTTTGCCCTCACTGAAAGCTAGATCACCCCCAGGTGACACCTTCCCCCGGACCTAGGCCACACCACCCAGCTACACCTTCCATCATACCCCATGACCTAACCGCCGTGGTGGCGGTGTGGCTCTTATCTCCCAGTCCCCACTCTGCCTATCCGCTTACTCCTCCGGAACCTTACCCTCCTTTGAGCACCTTAGCCTCTACCATCCCTTCAACCTTTCCCTCCTTGTCTGTTGTTCCCCCCAAACCCTCCCCCAGCTTCCTCTCGGACACCTCCACCCTCCTATCTTCCCTCTCCTTGTGCTCTGAACACCTCCTCATCCTAGGAGACTTCAATCTGTACTTCATTCCCTTCTGCTCCATCTCTGCTGACTTCTCCTTGCTCCTCTCCTCTCACAACCTCTCCCTCCACATCCACTCCGCCACCCACGTCTATAGCCACCCGCTTGACCTGGTGATTACCCGGGGCCTCAGCGTCTCGGACCTCACCATCACCGATAAAGCCATCTCGGACCATTACTTCATCCTCCTTAATTCCTCAATCCCTCTCACCACTTCAATCCACCTTCATCTCTTCCTCCCCTGGAAAATAATCTCCCCACACTCCCTCTCCACTGCCTTGGAGTCATCTGAACTCCTCCCCCTCTGGGCTTTCTTCGCAATGACCTACCCTCCTTGGTCACTCTCCTCCACCACTCCCTCTCCACCACTCTCGATGTCCTTGCTCCCTCACTTCCCGAACCGTCTCCTACTTACGGAAGTCACCCTTGTACACCAGCCACCTCTGCTCCCTTAAGACTCAGGTGCGTACCACTGAATGCACTTGACTCAAATCCAACTTAACAGTCCATCATCAGATCTGTTGGACCTTATCAAATCTTACTGCTCCTCCTCGCCTCCACTAAATCGTCCTTCTACTCCAAGAAAATCTTGGAGGCCAAGGACAACCCCAGGTCCTCTTCTCCATCCCCAATCTTTATGGTTCTGTCCTTGCATGCTTCAGATACTACCTCTCATACTGTCTCTACTTCATCTCCACAAACAGCTTCTCCTCTAGCCCACGCAATGCCTCGTGCAGCGTTCCTCAGGGCTCTGCCTTGGTCCTCTCCTTTTCAATATCTATATGCTCCCTCTTGATGAAATCATCCGCAGACATAGGGTCAATTTCCACATGTTTGCGGATGACACCCAACTCTGTCTTGCTGCCTCCACCCTTGACTCCAGGACCACTGCTGTCCTGACACAATGTCCGTCAGACATCAAGTTCTGGATGAGAGCTAATCTTCCACAGTTGAACGTCAACAAGGCCCTCTTGATTGGTTCCCATCAGCAACTGACAGCATCACCATCCAAGGATGCACACTCTACCTTACTATGCTAGTCCAGAACCTTGGTGCCTTGTTTGACCCTCAACTGTCCTTCCTACCCCACATCTGTGCGACATCCCACTCTGCCTTCCCCCACCTTCGCACCATCGACTGGCTCTGCCACTGTCTCACACCGCAGGCCACTGAAATCCTCATACACGCATTCACAACATCCAGGCTCGACTATGCAAACTCCCTGCTTATCGGCCTCCCCAATTCCTCCCTCCATAGGCTGCAGATCATCCAGAACTCTGCAGCCCGTGTCCTCTCCCGCAACAGGCTTCGCGACACTGTCACCCCCCATCCTCGCCCGACTCCACTGGCTTCCCATTATACAGAGGATACAGTTCAAGATCCTGGTCCTCACCTTCAAAGCTCTCCCTGGCCTTGCTCTCCTCCTACCTCTTTGACCTTCTAACCCCCTACCAACCTGCCCTTCCATCCACTCAGCGGGCTCCGGCCTGCTTCATGTCCCTTACCACGCCCACCTCACCACTGGCGGGCTTCTGCCACTCTGCCCCCACCCTCTGGACCTCCTTCAAGACCTGTCTCAAAATCCTCCTCTTTGACCGTGCCGTTGGTCACCCTCCCTCCCCCCCAACCCCGCCCTCCACCCCTCCCGATCCCGACCCCCAGCTCGGGTCCGTAACACTGATTGTCCAGCGGCTTTGGACATCTTCCCGACGTGAAAGGCGCTATTTGGGGGATTATTGGCCTGGACGCCGGGAGCAAGAATCTCCCTTCTCTTTCGAATAGCTCTATGTCCACCTGAACAAGCAGACGGGGCCTCGGTTTAACATCTCGTCCGAAAGACGACACCTCTGACAATGCAACACCCACCCCCACCCCCACCCCATTGCTGCAATGGAGCCCTAATTGGCGGTCATGTGTTTTACACT